ATTTTTGTGTGTTGAATGCATTTCTGGAAGGAAGCCCACATAATTGTGCTAGATAATCTTTTTGGTGTGTTCTTGAATTCCATTTGCAAGTACTTTATTGAGTTTTTTCAATCTATGTTCATGAGGGAGATTGATCTGTAATTCTGTAATTGTTTTTTCTGTTGTTAAATCTTTGTGTGGTTTCTGTATGGGGGGTGACTGTCACCTCATAAAAAGAATATGGCAATGTTCTTTGTTTCTATTTTGTGGAATAATTTGAGGAATATTGGTAGTAGTTCTTCTCTTAATGTCTGGCAGAATTCTATGCTGAAACTATCTGGTCCTGGAGCTCTTTTGGTTGGGAGACTGATATTTCAAGGCAGGGATTCTCTGTGTTACAGCCATGTCTGTACTGGAACTCTCTCTGTAGAGTGTGTTAGCCTCATACTCATAGAGATCCACCTGCCTCTGCCTCCGAGTGCTGGGATTAAAGGTGTGTGCCACCAAGGCCCAAAAGTTGGGAGACTTTTAATGACTGCTTCTATTTCCTTGGGGATTATAGGCCTAACTAAATTGTTTGGATTTACTCAGTGTCTGTTGTTACATCTTCCTTTGCATTTCTGATTCTGTTAATTTGGGCATTCTTTCCCTGTCTTTTAGTTAGTTTGGATAAGGGTTTGTCTGTCTTGTTGGTTTTCTCAAAGAGCAAACTCTTTGTTTCATTGATGCTTTACATTGTCTTCTTTGTTTCTATTTTATTGATTTCAGCCCTGAGTTTGGTTATTTCCTGCCTTCTACACTTCTTTTGTGTGGCTGCTTTTTTTGTGTAGATCTTTCAGGTGTGCTGTTGGGTGACTGGTATGAGAATTCCCTAGTTTCTTCATGAACTTTTCTCTTAGCATTTCTTTCAAAGTGTCCCATAAGTTTGGGTATGTTGTGATTGGAGATGTCATTCTGTAAATATGTTTCTTGTATTGGTCAATGAATAAAGCCCTGTTGGCCAATAGGAAAGCAAGATAGGTGGGACTAGGAGACAAGGAGGATTCAGGAAGAAGTAGGAGGAGATTCAACATGTAGGACCAAGAGACCAGAGGTCTGTACCCTAAGATAAGACCATGTGGAAACACTTAGATTGATAGAAATGGGTTAATATTTAAGACAGAGCTAGCCAATAAGAAATGCTAGTAATAGGCCAACAGTAGAAAATTGTCCAGTTTCCATGAGTTTGTTGGCTATTTGTTGTTGAAATTCAACTTTAATCCATGCTGATCTGATACAGGGGGTTATTTCAATTTTCTTGTATCTGTTGAGATTTGCTTTGTAACCAAGTACTTTGGTCAGTTTTGGAGAAGTTCCATGAGGTGCTGAGGGAAAAATAAAAAGATATATTCTTTTGTGTCTTGGTGATATGTTCTGTAGATACTCGTTAGATCTATTTGAGTCATAATATCTGTTAGTTCCATTATTTTGGTATTTAGTTTCTATCTGGATGACCTGCCCATTTGTGAGAGTGGGGTATTGAAGTCTCCCACTATTAATATGTGGGGTATTATATTTGATTTAAACTTTAGTAATGTTTCTTTCACAAAAGTGTGTGTCTTTGCATTTGGGGCATAGATGTTAAGAATTGAGACAGCAACTGTGTGGATTTTTTTTTAAGATAATTTTTTTATGCTTTGACTGCATTGGAATATCCGGGGTGCTTGTAGTGGGAGGGCTGGGCTCTGATGGTGACATATTGCTCTACCTGTTGTTGCTTACATTCTTACACTTACATTTAATCACCTGGATTTGGAGTGATTATAGGTCTTGGTGCCAATTTCTGGATTTGTCTTTATAGGATGGGTGTTTTTTCCCCTTAGATTCTGTTTCCTCTCTGGTCTTCTGGATCCTGTGGCCTGTGGTTAAGCAGAGGGTCTCTGCATGTGTTGAGGGCTGGACTTCTGATGGCTTGGATGGTCTCTAATCCAGCATGGGGTTTCTGTCCAAGTTTGGTGCTGAAGTTCTATCTATGTATCTGGCCAGGGTTCAGAATTTGGCCTGACTACTGGTGGGATATGAGCCTTCTACCTGGTTTTCAGAGAGTTGGCCTGGTCCTTGGGGTTGGCAAGGAGAAGAGAGATAATTGAGGTTATGTTGGGTGGGGCAGGCAGGCATTGGGTGGGATGATAGCTCACTTGGTTTTCAGGATGCTGCCCTGACCTCTGATGGGGGGGGGCAGAGTTGTAGGCCCAGGATATAGTGATTAGCAGGGGAAGAGCAGTTGAAGTTTTACTGGATGAGCACAGGCAGGGTTGGTGGGGGCAGTATTACCTGGAGTTCAGGATGTTGTCCTGGCTCTGGGAGCAGAGCAGGCTTCTACCAGAAGTGTGGGCCAGGACATGATGACAGAGGAGGGGCAGTTGGGGTTATGTTGGGCCCACAAATATATTACTGAACAATAAGAACTCTTGTCCATTTCTGTACAGGTGAGAGCCTCAACTGCCAACTGAGAGGATATCCTGGAAAGAATGAAGCTGAGGGCTTTGGTTTGTTTGGGCTTGAGTTTTGTTTTTATTCAAATACCAATAAGTCATTCCAAAGCAAGGCTGATCTGCTCTGTGACTAAAGAATGATTGTTTTCTGTAACTCTGCAAAGTAAGAAGCTTCCTCCACACAAGCTGTCCTTGAGCCAACTTGAACCAGGGCTGTAGAATTTAAAATTAATTATCACCCGTCCACTTTGTCAGATAAGTACCGTATGACTCATAGGAACGGGAATTTAGTCGGTAAAGTTAATAGTCAACCCACAACTGTGCTGCACCTTCTCCAGTAAAGCAAGCAAAATCCTAGAGTGGTGTTGACCTTTGTCTTTGCATCCCATAACCTACATACTATGACATAAAATTAATAATATTTCAACACTAAAGTAAAATCAATACATCTTATGTTTTGTGATAAAATAAGGAGAAAGTGAAAGATATTTACTCATTATACATCACATGTGTTTACATATAATACTCACCCTACCAAGTCTGTTTCTATAAATGAGCATGTGGACATAGCCACTATCTACAATTCTATTCTTTTTACTGCTAAGTGTAAAGAAAGATGCATGCATAACCTAAGCAGTCCTGTCAAGGTGTGGCCCATCATTGACACTTCATTTCCAGCCTCTTCTGCAATGTAGTTGAATAACTTACCAAGACTGTGTGAAATCACTTTCTAAAAGGCAAGTTCCTCCTCTAGCAGATACCAATGCCCCAGCCTTCCCCTTTCCTGCTGCATGGGATTCCTGGGGAAGTTTAATTCTTTGTATATTTTGTTTCAGTGGCTTGGTACCTCATGGAAAGTCACCTGGTGTTTTTCTTCAGAATATCCCCTTTCCTGATAGGAAACATAGAAAACTAGAAGATTCTAAGTAAACAACAGCACAAGAAAGATTCCAATTAAAATACCCTAACTGTATTCGTCATACTCACCCACACTCTTAGGTCATGGTTCTTAAAACATAAACAGAGTTCCCTACCATAAGGTCACACATGGCAATGTATGAAAACCTGCAGAGTGACACCCAGAAAGCTTTGTGTGTGACTCTAGGTAGGAACCAAAAGCATCCTGAGGGGGTGGGGGCATGCACTGTGGCACATAGAACTATTAGGTGCTATGCAAGCCCGTTACAGAAGGTCAAATCAAGCATCAGACAGAAGCAGGGGTGAATATTATGCCTTCATTTGGATTCTTCTGAGGTGTAGAATGGTAGCTAAACAATGGAGTAAATGAGGTGGAGGTAGAACCCAGCATGATAAATGTTGACTCCAGGCCAACCCTGGTGTCACAAGCCTCTACCCCACCTCAGAGGCTGGACCAAGAGAATCAGAGTTCCAGGGCTGCCTGAATAACAGAGCAAGCACAAGGATTGTGTGTGCAACTTAGTGAAGTCCTTCTTAAATCTAAAAGGTAAAAGGAATTCTGGAAATGCAGTATACTTGTCTAGTATGTACAAAACCCTAGATTGAATTTCCTATCACTACTCTCCTGGGAATAAAAAGGAAGGAAGGAAACAAAAGAAATAAAAAAGAATGAGAGAGAAAAGAGAGAGCACAGAAAGAAAGAAAATGTTTGCTCCATATCATACCAAACCTGTCTACGATGCAAATTAATTGCAAAAAATTGCATTGCTTAACAGAAATAAATGCTGCATAGTCAGTTATAAGCCAATCAGTACAATACTGCTCAAGATAGAGCTTGTTGTTGCCTATTGCCTCTGCTAGCTATGAGTTACTGTTTGCATGTGTTGGCTTGTATTTTGCAAACTTGAAAAATAGCAGTGTAATTCATGATGTCAAGCACATTCTTATATACCTGTCAGCCATTTTTATGTTGTTTTGGATAAAAATATGTTCAAATCCTCTATCCACCTATGAGCCAGGTTACTCATTCCTTGCTACCTTATCCAGGTATAGTGCATTGTGATAGTTGGTTCGTCTTGATTGTTAACTTATGAAACACAGACCTGTGTTTGTGTGACTGCTTCCACAACAGAGTGTTTTGTAGGACAGTAACTGGGGCAAAGGAATACACCTTAACTGTGTATATAAAAACCAACAGGTGACTGAATAGAAAAACAAGTGCTGTTGCTGCTGCTGTTGTTGATGATGATGATGAGGAGGAGGATCATGGGGGTGGTGGAGGTGATGGTGATGATGATGAACTCTAGTTTTTTTTTTTTTTTTTTTCATCTTACAACTTGACTCAGCACCAGTGACTCTAGATAACTACTAGGTAAAACCTTCCAGTCCTTTGGTACCATACTGAGGCAGCTGAGTTTCCTGGATTGGGCATTACTTAGTTCTCTGCCTTTCAGGCATACAGAAATCCCACTCTTGTTGGATTACCCAGCTGATACTGGGTCAACCAACACAATAAATCCCTTACTGGGACTCTCTTCAAAGGGGATTCTAGGTTTGTCAAGTTGAGAATTGAAGTTATCCATCACAATGCCCTTTAAAATAGGCATTCTGTTGCTTCTGTTTCTTTAGAGGACCTTGTCTGATGCAAGTACCGCATGCTACAGGGACCATTTTTCCTGAAATAAATATATACTCCTCTTCTGGCCTGAAGCATAAAACAGAAGAATAATAATCATTTGGCTACTGGACATTTCCTCAACAGCTAAACAAACCAAGGTGAGAAAATCGGGAACCTAGTATTAACTCAGTCTTTGCAATATGTATAGAATCTACTTAGAATTAATTAACTACACAGGGAGATCGATAAAACTGGGGCCACACTCAGAAAGACAAGTCTCAAGTGTGCGTCTGTGAAATCTACAGGGAAATAAAAGATTGCAAATATGAATACAGGAAAGGGTCTGTCAGGGGAGCATAAGGGTTTGTTGGCAGTGTGGAAGGGGGTTTATCAATCTTCAGTGGCAGCAGGAGATACTGTTCCACACAGATGGCTGTAGTAGCCTGAATGGACCTCAACTTGGGTGGATTTTAACTGGAGATAGTCTTGATTTCCACTGCAGAGAAAAAAAATAATTCAGGATAAGTCAATACCAGGCAAATTTGGATTTTTTTTTTAAAAAATATTAATTTAAGCATGGGTGTTGGGGTGAAGATAGGGCTTAATTATAGCAGTGATACACTCCCTGAGGTAGGCATGGCCTGACAAAAGAGGTATGTTGTCTCTACAACACTTACATGATTTTTTTTTAAAAAAAGGTTGACTTACATATTTATATTTTAAGTGTATGCATGTTTTGCCTTCATGTATGTCTCTGCACCATATGCATGAAGGTCTAGAGGAGGCCAAAAGAGGTCATCAGATCCACTGGAACTGGAGTTGCAGATGGTTGGGAGCTGCCATGTGGGTGCTGGGAACTGAACCTGGGTCCTCCGTAAGAGCAGCCAAAGCTCTTAACTTCCTAGCCATCTCTCCATCTTACATAGTTTTGGAGCTTGCATCGCTCAAAGGATTTCTATGGTTTCATCTCAGGAAATATCTTCAGTATGTAAGATCAGAAGGTGTTTTCTGGGGTGCATTGTGTCAGGTGTACACACTGAAAGTTCACCAGGAAGTTCTCCACCTGTGGTTTAACTATAAACATGTCTTTTAATTGTTTTTGGATAAACGAGAAGGTTAAATCCCAAGGTGATACATACTTCCCTTCAAATGTAGTTCATACCACTTGGACATGTTTATTTGATATGTACCTATTGCAAAAAGACTCTGCTGAAATGGGGTCAAGCCCTGTAACATCCACATGTTAAGGAGTTATGACTCAGAAAGGAGCTTCATTGCCCTCAATAATGTTAGGACGTGGAGTAGAAAGAAATATCACAATTCCCATCTGCACTTATTCCCAAAGACTTGCTTCCCCATTACAAGATAGTTGAGCATTTCAGGGTTGTTTGGAAACTTGGTGTGAGATTCCCTTTCCTGCCAAAACCATGCTATGGTAACCATGCTTTCTTCTTCTGGCCTAAATGGAACAGGGAAGAATCACAGTAAGCTTTGGGGACCATGTAGTCAGCTCCCATCTTGTTTAATTCCTTCCCATAGCCTCACTGTGTTTCACAGCTTAGCGCCTCACAGGTGTTCTGGACATCCAGTCTTTCTCAGCTCAGAGCAGTTTTGAGATCAAGACGAACACAAATTTAAAATCAGCTAACAGGTCAGAACCTTATTTGAACGTGCAGAAGTTTCCTTTGAGAAACAAGGTATGAAGGAGAGGCCAAGAAGGCAAACAGTGCAGGAAGCAGCCAGTCCCCCTTGTCATGGCTACAGACAACAGTGAACTCTTAGTGAGAACCGGCTCTTTCGTGTTTCCTCTGAAGCCTAGCCCTGTTGTATTTTATTAAAGATTTGTACAGATTTGTATAATGATCTGTAACTTGGTGGTATTTGGTACTATTAGAGGAAAATCTTCTTGCTTTTTTATATCACTGTTTTATTTTGTTTTTAAGTAAATCCTAGGGTTTGATCCAACGAAAGAAAGAAAAAAGACTGTTCTCTGTATGGATGTAATGTTCACCATGTTTCTGTAGTTGTGCTGAAATTCTTGACTCTTAGACAGATTTCAGAGTCCTCAGTGAGTGGTCTTCCCTTGCTGTGTCCCCTTACACAACTCCATCTTTCTATCTTGACTCACAGTAGAGTCATTATCTTCATGCATTACAATGTCGCATCATCCTGTAATATTCTAATAAAAACAAAAAACCTCAATGTCCTAATTAAAAAAAAAGGGCAAAGTTGGATTTTTACCAGATGCTTACATACAAAATTAACTCAAAATATAGTATATACATGTAGGATTTCAAATTTTAGTGCTTTCAGAAAGAAACAGTCTTAGATAGATAATAATAATAAATAAAAAAAAAAACCTAGACACCATCGATATTATACAGCACTACGGAAAAGATGCCATCAGGAAAGTGCAAATAAGCCATGAAGTGGAAGAAACTATTTGAAAACCATGTATCTGGTAATAAATTTATGTGTAGAATATATATATGTGTCTTGCACACTTGAAATTTTAAGAGATAACCCACTTTTAATGTATATACAGGTGTGTACAAAGGTCAGAAGATGGTAATGGGTCTCCTATAACTGGAGTTAACAGGAAGAAGTGAATCATGCAATGTGGGTGCTGGGATCCGAACTCAGGTTGTCTGCAAGAAAAAGTGCTCTTAATACCTGAGGCACTCCAGACAAAGGCATTTCACTATTTAAACAGAGAAAGAGCCAGCCATGATGGAACATGCCTGTGAACTCAGCATTCAGGTGCCAAGTTGCTTCACAACTTGGAAGCAAAGTGAGTTCCAGGCCAGCTCTTAACCACTGTTTAAATATTTGTTTTCTCTCTAGAATTGCAGAATAGTTTTCTTCCTGAAGCAGCTGACCTCCATGGGCTTTCATAAACTTCTTGTAACTTCCTTCATTGCTGCACACTGGAACTTCAAATGCTGTTCAGCTGTCTTCAAGTGCCTGACACACACTAGGGTCAGCACAGAGCTAAAACCTCTCTAATTCCTTGAAATTGTGGCAGGTTGATGCAATGTGTTCATTGCTAAAACTTGCAAGACAAACAGTTTTCAACAACTAGCAGTTGTTGCATTTGATTCTTAAAGTAAGATGGAGACAGCATCTTATTTTTTAACATCACTCATTCTGTTTAGTAAAGGAAGACATAAAATACAACTCTAAATATTTGCAAGCATCTGTTTTGTACTGCGACCCATTAACACAACAGTGTGTAAAATTAGATATAGGCTCTGACATCTAAAACCTGTGCTCTGCTAAAGGTCCAATAGTAATATTTTCAAACAAATGTCCAGCCCAGTTCCCTTCTCAAGTGCATATAGCTCTTTTTCCAGTATTGATGGTTTTACCATCATAGGTTGTCTGTCCACCCAGTACCATTCATCCATTCCCAATGTTTGACTTGCCCCTGCTCTGCCTAATCCACAGGTCAGAGGACCTTATGGATCTCCACAGGAAACCATTCAAGATTATGATTGACATCCTAAATATATAACACATGTTTAGTAATACTAGAATGGCTGCAATAAATGTGCTGATACTTAATTTACTCCTATGCCTTTGTCTCCCCTTTTTATAGTCTGTCACACATTACATCTTTAAATATTGGATGTTCATTCTTAATTTTCTAAGTTAATCCCTAAGCTAACATATTAATGAGGCATGTTATGGCATATCCATGCATTTTTCTCATACATTTGTGATGTTGAATTTATTATCACTCACTTCTCACTCCCATTGCCTCTCCATGTGGTTTCCTCAATTCTGTTTCGTTTCCCTTTTCTCCTCCATGGGATAACTTTTTTGGCTTCCTTGTCCTCAAAGAAAAACACCAAATCCACAATTGTCAAATTAAAGCAAACTGTATTTTGGAGTACACCAGCGAGTGGCCATCCAGCTGTCTCACTGTAAATCGGGATTCGAGAGCAGCCATCTTGGCCTCTTGAGCTCCTTTTCATAGAAGGGATGAGATGCTCACAGAGGCAAGAGAGTTGACTATTGCACAATATTGGAAAAACACAATGAAATGGAAGGAACAAGAGGAAGGATATGCATCATATGAATGGGGTCACAAGTTTAGTGTAGGTTGAAAAACATACTTTGCAGATCTAGGAAACAGAAACTTATTTGTAATTACAACCCTTAACTTGCAAGGATCTAAGTTGTAACCTCAAACAGAAACCTTAACATGCAAGGTGTTTCTGTTTTGGTCTCACACTTCCTCTTAACATTGCTTTCTCATTGTTTACCATCTCTTACTTCTCAGTTACTACTCTGTTTTGTTTGTTGTTTGTTAGACAAGGTCTCTTTATACAATCCCTGCTGTCCAGCAGCTGACTTGTGTAGACCAAGATGGCCTCAAACTCACAAAGATATCATCTTGGCCTCCTGAGCACTAGAATTAAGGGGGGGTGTGCACCCCATGCCTATATCCACTTTCTTCTTATGTTCTTTCTAGATTTATATTCTCATTAACATGTATCTCCAATGTAAGTTTATGTATTTCAATGAATTATTTATTTAAAAGAGAGAGGTTGCTATATATATCAGTAAATTGTATGTTTTAAAAAGAGAGGTTGTAAATGATGCCAAAATACTGTAACTCTGGGAGGTTTTTGGTTTGTTTGGGGTTTTTTTGTTGTTGTTGTTGTTTTTGTTTGTTTGTTTGTTTGTTTTTCTCTTTCTCTCACCTGCATATATTGCTAAGCTTATGACCCTTCTTTGTGCTACAGGTTCACATCATAATCTGTGTCCTGTCCATTGCTGGGAAAATTCCCTTTAGCGCTTCTCAGAGAGCAGTTCTACTGGTAGTAGATTATCTGTAAATTATTTTATGTTCATCATTTTTAAAGGATGCTTTGGCCAAGCACAGCATTCTTAGTTGACATGACTACAAAGCTATAGTGTGGGAGGATCCTGGAAGGTCTATGTGTTGAAGCAGGTTTGTCAGCCTGTGCCTCGGTTGGAAGTGGTAGAGCCTGTAAGAAGTGAGATCATTCTCTGTTCTTCCCCCAACTGGACCTTCTTGATCGCTCATATTCTCCTCCACTCCATCTCCCCTCCTCTTTCTTCTACTTCCCTCCACCTCCCCCATGTTCCCACTTTTACTCGGGAGATCTTGTTCCTTTCCCTTTCTGGGGGGGGGGATTCCATGTATGCCTCTCTTAGGGTCCTTCTTGTTTCCTAGCTTCTCTGGGGTTGTGGATTATACGCTGGTTATCCTTTGCTCCATGTCTACTATCCACTTACAAGTGAGATCATACCATGTTTTTCTGTCTGTGTCTGGGTTACTTCACTTAGGATGGTTTCTTCTAGTTTCATCCATTTGCCTGTGAATTTCAAGATTTCAGTTTTTTGTTGTTGTTGTTTTTTGTTTTTGTTTTTTTTTAATTGCTGAGTAGTACTCCTTTGTGTAAATGTCCACATTTTCTTTATCTGTTCTTTGGTTGAGGGTCATCTGGTTGCTTCCAGGATATAGCTATTACCAATAATGCTGCTGTGAACATAGCATCCTTTGGATATGTGCCTAATTGGTCTTGAGGTAGATCAATTACCATTTTTCTGAGAAACCACCATACTGAGAAGGAGAACAAGGAAAGAGATACCTTAATAGAGGGAGCCATTATGGGCTTATTGATTAACCTAGCACTAGGGAAATTCCCTCGAATCTATAAGGATGACCCCCAATGAAGAATCTAAGCAATAGTGGGGAGGCTACCTTAAATGCCCTTCCCCTATAATGAGATTGGTGACTACCTTAAATTTCATCCTACAGCCTTCATCTAGTAGTTGATGGAAGTAGAAGCAGAGATCCACAACACAAGTTGACTCAAAAGGTCCAAATACAGGTGATCTTCAGCTCAGGATGATTTAACTTATGACTTTGGACTTTATGGAAGAGCGAAAG